AGAGAGAGAGAGAGAGAGAGAGAGAGAGAGAGAGAGAGAGAGAGAGAGAGACAGACAGACAGACAGAGAGAGAGACAGACACAGAGAGAGAGAGAGAGAGAGAGAGAGAGAGAGAGAGAGAGAGAGAGGGGGGATAGATAGATAGATAGATAGATAGATAGATAGATAGATAGATAGATAGATAGATAGATAGATAGATAGATAGATAGATAGATAGATAGATAGATAGATAGATTATATATATATATATATATATATATATATATATACAGACATTCCTGGAATTGTGGGGTCTTCTTTGTGAGACATGGTTGTGAGGCACAATGAGAGAATGTGTTGTGGGGCATAATATATATACACTTATATATACCCCACAACTTTTATATGCCCCACAATAGTATCTCAGAAAGGCATTTCATATGCCTCACAATGTTGTTTTTCTCGTAGTTTAGTATACACTTATATATACCCCACAACTTTTATATATGCCCCACAATAGTATCTCACAAAGACATTTCATATGCCTCACAATGTTGTTTTTCTCGTAATTTAGTATATTATACTTTTCTACGGAAAAAACATGCTTTATTATGCTTTCTGTGTTTTTAATGTATATATAACCCAATAGGCCTACCTCATAAACTGTTATGATGCCTCGGAAATTGGTTAGCCAGTCCCCAGTCAAACCAAACACACATGTACCGATGTATATGGGTTTACAAATAGCACAATAGTTTATTAATTTTAAAATTATTTTTGAATTAATATTCATCCTTATCAGCCTCCTTCTTAGTAACTTCACACTCTACGAAGAAGTGAGCTAGCCTTAGGAGTAGCCTAAATATGTTCTGCCAGTGACGTTATTTAGGCCTAAGGTAAGAATGTTTTCATTAATTATTTCTACATGCTGGCCAAGAACCCGCTCCTCGGGAACGGAAAGAAGTAGCGGGTTCTTGGGCAGGGTTTTTCATTAGTGAAGTTCAAATGTGCATATTTTCGCATATTTTCGCATATTTTCACACATTGGTGACCTTGTTCGATTCCTTTCAACAGTTTAAATGATCAGCTTGCAAATGTTGTCTTCCACTTCCACCCATAACTGTCAGAAAACAAAGCCTTGTATGCCCGTCATCTGACCCTGGTGTTGGTGTTAGCCTGTTAGGCAGCTAATCTTCTCCAAGAACGTAAAACATTACTATTAAATTAATTTGTAAATTTGGATTCATTACATGTACTGTACTTTACTTCTATGGTTATTGATGGTCAAGAAAATTCTTTCAGAGCTCATATTCTGCCTAAAATTGGATAGATTTGTTGAAAGTTAGAAACTCCACACTGGACTAGCCAGCCGGTAAGGTGGCTGAGCGACTCACAAACTTTTTTCTCATTGTCAGCAAGAGGCTTGTGGGACGCCACTTTAACGTTTATTCCAGGTGGTCTTTCGGAGACATTCTTAACATTCTGGTGCCCTACAAGGGGACCGAGTGCTCCGCCTCTGATACATAGAGTACTTAATGTCCAGAAGGGTGGAGTTAAGTCCAAACTGGACTAGCTACTGTGCTAGACCTCAGTGTCATTTCAGTACCACACACATCGATCCATATCTCTCCCCAAATATGTACGTGAGGACATCATTTATTTTTCATTTTAAGTGCATAGCATATAAAATGTCCACACATGCAGAATTTGGGGAGTTTCGATTTTAAAGACCGTGTTCAGGTTGCCTGACATTACTGGCGTATGCAGTATGTGTGTGGAATATCTTTAACAAATTGGCAACCGAGCAGCTGAACAGTGATATGCCCACAATAAGGGAACAGATAGGATTGCTGACATGGTATCAGTATACAGTGGCTAATTCTGATTTACAGGGTGTGCTCCCAGGGAATCCCGCCTGGCAAGCACATTTGCTACATACATTTGACCAAGAAAAGTATGTCAACATTGAAATATTTGAATTTGTGTTTATTTGGTAGTTTCATAGTTTCAACCCAAGACAAAGTAGAAAGAATATAATACTAATTGACAAAAGACAAAAAAGAATACGAGTTTCATCTGCAATTGCAATTGTTTACTTTCAAACAATATGAATCTTAAAAAGAAATCTGAATATTCAAAATATTTTTCTGAAGGCATACCCCAAAAATGAGGGTCACATTTACTGCTTGGGAAATACAGTCGAGCACATGTATATTTATATCAGATAGTTGATTAAGAAACAAATCAGCCTATACATGAGTCCATTTCCATGGGTCTTTTAGTGTCATCCCTGCAAAGCATGATATTGCCATTTCCACATCGACTTAGCTGCAAAAGAGGACAGTGATTTTTTCAAGATTTTACAGGTTGAAACTTTGTCACAAAATAAAAAGTCTATAAGAAATCACCGATATGAATCAAAATTGTGCAAGGGTAATTAACTAAAAATTGAATGTGTACACTCTTGTGTCCTATGAATGATTACATGCAGATGTTTTGTCACAAATGTCCAGGGCATGGAAACTCTAACCAAGCTTCACTCCCTAGACGACTCCAAGGACATAAAAGTGCTCACTCAATCTGCAAAGTTTTGCAATGTGTTTGAACATCCAAAGCATGACATGACCAAAAGGCAAAAAAGAACACGATTAAAATCAACAAACTTCTCCAAGGTGGCAAAATCTCTGGACACCTCTCTTGAAATCCCAGATCTAAGACCAGACCATTGTATAGAAACAATCATAGCATGTTCTCCACGGAGACATGAACACTTTCCCACAATAAGATGCCAAATTGATGGGAAAGATTCAAAGCAACTGACAAAGAAAAGCACAATGCATGACAGTACCACACAATTGCTCCAAACTACCTAACTTAATTAACCAAGTGACACATGGACAAAAGTATACACTGATGGTTCAGCTAAAGATGTAGTGCGAAGAGATGGCGGTGTCATCTATATTATATTGTAAGGTCAAATGGAAAAACCCTTGAAACGTGCATTCCCACTGGCAAATACTCCTCAGATGGTTCAGCTAAAGATGTAGTGCGAAGAGATGGCGGTGTCATCTATATTATATTGTAAGGTCAAATGGAAAAACCCTCTGACAGGTGCAAAGTATGCACTTCAGTCCCTGCAAAATCTCAAAGACAGACCTGAACTCACTGGCAAGATCCCTCTTGACACTCTGTACAACTACCAGCCAAGTGGTATTACAGTGGATACCAGGCCACTGCATGCTATTTGGAAATGAATTAGCAGACGAACTAGCAAAAAAGGTTGCTGATTTGGAACTCTGTACAACTACCAGCCAAGTGGTATTACAGTGGATACCAGGCCACTGCGTGCTATTTGGAAATGAATTAGCAGACGAACTAGCAAAAAAGGTTGCTGATTTGGAACAAGAAGAAGAAGAAGAAGAAGAAGAAGAAGAAGAAGAAGAAAAAGAAGAAGAAGAAGAAGAAGAAGAATCTGAACAACGGGCATCCTTGTCGGACTGTAAGAATGAAGAAGAAAAAGAAGAAGAAGAAGAAGAAAAAGAAGAAGAAGAAGAAGAAGAAGAGGAGGAGGAGGAGGAAGAAGAAGAAAAAGAAGAAGAAGAAGAAGAAGAAGAAGACAAATGTTGGGTTCATCCATCACTGCAAGTAAGTAGGCAATATCTGAAAGCTTCTGTTATTCATAAAATGGCAAAGAAAGTGGAAATGGGGTTCATGACAATCAGATGGTACCATGGCAGATGTCAGCACGGCCTATGTATAATCCCAGCCCTGACCAAGCATTCAAATTTATAGGCTTATATAGAAAGCAAGGTCATTTGAAAGTCAAATTACAATTACAAGAAAAATAATAGCGCTTATCGGCAAATACTTCAAGTAATGTCTCACATACTACATGAAAAAAGGATATTGAAATAAGGTTCAGTTTCTACCCAGACACTGACAGTTTACATTTGCCAAGAATAATATTGTTGATTTTGGTTTTAATAACAGCGACAGACCGCTCCTTCAGGAATGGACACTTCTCCTGAGCCTGTCTGATTTGCATTCCAGACGGATTTGTTTTGGTGACAATGTTCTCCTTGAACTGAGTGCAGAGACTTGTTTCTTCCTCAAGTGACCATCTTTTCCTTCCTTTAGGTTTCTTAGTTTTTTCCGACATAGACAGTCTATCATCCACAGTCCCAACATCCTCCAGAGTCTCTACTGCAGCACCAGGTTGGCCAGCATCTTCTCCCGTGTGCTCCGAGCCAGATTCCTCTGCAACGTTCAAAGGCTCAAGATCATCCTCCTCCTCATCTTCTCGGTCTGCTGTTGGGAGAGGAAGCTCTTCCACTGGCATAGATGCTAGGTTTCTCCCTGCAAATTTTGTTAGATTTCCATTTTCAAGGGCAATGAGTGCTCTAGCAACTTTAGTTTTCTCCAGCAGTGAAGACTGAAGTCTGTAGACATCAGTGTGAACGGCCACTGAGTGTCCCATATGATCAGCCACCATCTTAAGCTCGTCACCTGTCATATCCAACAACTGGATTGTTGTGGCCAAGTACTTTCGGAGTAGCCTTGTCCTGATCAGCTTTGGACACTCCAGTCCAGGACACTTCTCTGTCACATTCCGCATGGCACTACAACCATCCACGGTGAACCAGAAGGTCGGGCGAACAGGTAATCAACGGATGGATCGATTCCTGCATACATCCTCGTCTGGATTAAATGCTTGCAAGCCTCTAGCATCTCATCAGAAAGAACTACAAACACTTTTCTAAGTCCTCTTGTGCTCTTGCCACGAACTTCAACTACACTCATTCTCTTGGCTAGTGTCCTCTCCGTGATTCCCATTTGTGCCAACATTTCTTCATTGTCAGAGTCAGTTTGAATTTGGCGAATGTCTGACACTTTCAACTGCTCCACTTCAGATACACGTCTTTTGTTAAAGAGCAAAATCCGCACCATGACAACCTCTGCAGTATCAGTCCATTCCTGAGGAGACAATTTTGCCAGGCTCAGACTCTTCTTGATCTCTTGATCGAGGAAATTCTTCAAACTGACCATGTCAGTTGTCTTTGGCAACTCCACTGCCTTGTTCAGTGTCATTCGCCTCAATGCTACAGCGGACACATAATTGTTCCAATGAGCACCGATTAGGAGGCTGAAGTTGTCTGCATCCTTCCTGGCCTCGTCGTCTTCACCCTGAAGGGCCAGACTCTGCTTAAGTTGTACAATTTGTTTGATGTAATGACCCAACGTGAGTGACAGATTGGGTGACTCCAGGCCCATGTCTCTCACTGTTTCTACTATCAGCCGGAAATGTGTTGGTTTGAGGAAAGCTGACAAGTCCAAATCCTGATTTGATTTTTCATTCAGTCTTACAACAAGTCTACCTACAGCCCTCACTTTCGTTCTGATGTTGTCTTTGTCTTTACGACGCTGCTCCTCCAAAGGTCCTAATTTGTGGACAAGCCCTCTGCAGAATTCGCGGATGAGTACATCATGCATGCAGATCTGACGAAGTCCTGGGTTTTTGCTGGTTTCTTTCATTTTGGAGATGATGTCTTCAATTTCACCCTCATCAGAATCCAGCTGAAGGAAAGGTGACAGCAGCATCCTGCTGTTTCTCAGGAAATTTTTGTCAGAGTTCTTTCCAGCAGGACATGTTTTGGAATGTAGGCTGAGGCTTTTTTCAAAAACCCATGCCTTGCACTCTGTGCAAGGGAGATACAATTCAGGCCTGGAAGTTTCTTGGGTGGTGGGTCGCCTGCTTACCGTGATTTCCCCACAACCATTCCTCAAAACCTGGAGAAGAAGGAGCATATTGAAACCTCAGTCAATAACAAAAATATTTTTTGTGCAGTTGAGGAAACATTCATTTTAACACCTGTCTGCAACATCCCACAAATTCACGACATGGGGAAAAAATGATGGCACGCCGCACATGTCTCACTGCAACCACAAAGGAACTTCTGTAAAAGTAATTTCTGCGATCAGTTCTGCAGAAACTGTTTTAACTGTTAAACAAATTAATTCGTCAGTTTATGCGCATTTTTGTACTCTATTTAGACTCTTTGACTTCATTTTGACATGTGCCTGTGGAGATGGGAATGGATTTACTGCTGGAAAGGTGGACATTCTAACTGTATTTTAGAGCTTCGTGAGTCAGTATTGGTAAGCTTGAAAGAATTCAATGGTACTGGTTAGAATTTCGATGTTTTCAGCAGATCTACACACAAACTCACACACACACACACCGCACCCATGCAGGCACGCTCGCATGCACGCACGCACGCAGGCAGACATGTACGAACGCACACACACACACACACACACACACACACCCACACAAATAGATAATTTTACAAATAAAACACCAGCTTAACGTTGAACAACCAAATAAGACCAGATGAAGTATCAAGGTTTTAACTTTAATAACTTTGGGACAATCTCTTTATTCTCTGACTTGACCTAACGTAGCAATGCACAATCTCATACTTATGATAACAAATTAACTTACCTGAAGATGGGAGCCACAAATTTGGTAAAAATATGCACTTGATCATGTTCTTACAAAGAAAATAGATTTTAGAACAATAAGGATGAGAGAAAACTTCAGTAAATACCTATCATGAAAATAAATTGACAAAACTCAGTTATTGCTGACCAAAAATTGTTGATTTTGAAAGAATTAGGGCCCTACAACAACAAAAATTCCTTACCTCGCAGTTATGTTCGTGATTTCCTGCATTTTGTAGGAGGATCATGAGCCGTTTCCTTTCTTTCGAGCCTATAGGCAATGACACAATGTCTTTCACCTTAGCCTCCTTGGAATGGACAGACAGGTAATGGGCAGATATCTTTGAGACATACATCCCCTTGCAAAAGACACAATAGTCTGGCTTGCGATAGTTTCTTTTACTCCCGGATTTAGGATCCCCAGCGATTTTTACTGAAACAAAAAAAGGGAATGACAGAAAATGTCATAATAAGCTGAATGTACAAGGTTTGACGTGACACACAGAAACTCAAGTTTGCCATTTTTGTTTTTTAATCTGGACGTCATAAAAGTGTACAAAGGTTATTGCCATAGAGTAACAACATGGAAATTTAGAAATTCATAGTTCCCTGACACGTTAGACATGCCAGTAAAATGTAGAGACAATCAATGACATGGAAGTTGAAAACCATAATGCAAAATAAACAAACAATTAGAAGAAAAAAAGCCCACACTCCAAACTGATGAGAAATACATTACCTTTTGCGAAAGCTTTCCGAAGCTGGCTTTGAGATGGGGCCGTTACTTCAAGAGCGTCATTTTCTGTCAATTGAAAGAGAAAAAATATATGAAGTAAACAATCACTTTTACTAACAGTTTCATAGTGAAATCAAAATGTCTACTTTTCGTCTCATGTTTCAGATATAACAAATAAAATAACACGACAGACAACGAGGCAAGAACAATATTATTAAAAGCTCCTTTAGTAATTTTCTCATTCAAGCAAGCATGATGATAGCTTCTCTCTCCGATTACCCATTATATTTAAATGGTTGGTTGAAACTTTGATGACAATCTCTGTTCCGTTCCCGTGCTGCACACGGAGGTATGGTAGTCACATTTCAATGGTCATATCTTGCTGTGTGGTTTTGACACATGTTCACTTTTATTCAAATCCACAATCCTACATCCAGTCATAGCTTGTTGGAACTAAGACGTATTAATCAAAGCAAAATGTTAATTCTTCTGACTGAACATTTGTGTTAAGCAATACACTGTTATAAAAAAATCAACATGGTTGGTTATACCGCCTTTTCTTAAAACGTCCTGAAGTGGGAAGTAAATGAAGTGTAGTTGTTAGGTTCACCATATTTCCGGACATCTTACCTGGAGGACATTCCAATGGTTCGACATCATCACTTTGTTGTCGATCAGGGCCAACAGAAGGAAGATCTGAAAAAATAAATTGGACTTTTATTTTTTTTGTTTTCTCAAAGGAGAACAAGGTATGTTTTAATCAAATAATACTAATAATGATGAGACCAATTTTGTAACAATTCACCAATGAATCAAAATTCTGCTATGATAACTGAACATATGTACGTCTACAATGACAACGATCCAATCAGAGAGTCGTGTTTTTTAGTTTGTTTTAACTCATTTACCTGGCTATCAACTCGAATAAAGTCAACCTGGTTAGAGACTGACTTTGGGCAAGTACAGATCAGTGTGCCTATTGCAGCCAAATACTGGAGCAGAGCACTGTATCGTGCTTGTACACTAATTACTAAGTGTCATGGTAGACGTCTTGAAATCTTGAAAGTGTCACATTTAAATTTAGGGATCTAATTAATTTTAACAGTGTTCTATTGATTATTTGTTGCATTAGCTGTCTTTCTTACTGATTTTTTTGTTCTCGCTGCTGCATGAATGTGTTTCATGCTTAAGATATTCAGGTGCTTGCTTTTCATTTAGCATTTTAACTTAACTACCGATAATTTTTTTTTGGTGAAGTGGGGACATTTTAATTAGAAACTCATAAAAATATCCATATGTTTCGAAATTGCATTAGCAATTTAGACTTTTGAAAAAATATACCACAGAGTGTACTTGTACTAGCCATCCATACAGAAACAACTTGTCTCTCACCTCTTATACCTTGGAGCATTGGAAATATTTCACTCTGTTCCTGTGACACTACAGATTCTGGGACATCTTCTTCTTCTGGGATAGCTTTTTCTGATGCTGGGAACGCTTCTCCAGATTCTGATTCTGAGCCTGAAGTGAATGGCTGTCAAATCAAAGACAAGTGTAAACAGAAACTTCAAAAATTGGAAGTAAAGTCAAAGAGCATCAATTTGGAGATACCAACAATTATGTCTAACAAAGATTGTGATTCATTCTTTGGGGCAATTCCACTATTTTTGTTTGTTAAATGAAATATTGTGACAAACCCAAACCCTTTTGAACATAACTCTGAATGAAATTGGGGGGAGGGGGAGGAGGGGAGTTGATGCCACTGTGAGGGCACAGAATTCTGTTACCTGTGCTCTTTTGTGTGAGTGTAATTTTTGAAATAAAACGGTCCCAGTGGTCTAATAGGGAAGAAATCCATCCTGGGAAAGGGGATCATGGATTTGATTCAAACCACAACGTTTAAATAATCGGTAAAGTAGCTGTCCGTGCGATGTCCATATAATTTATGAGGACAGTGCTCAGACTGGTATACCTTGTGTCAGCATACCGTGACGGGGGAAGGGTTCTCGGTGTGCTCCCAGTGAGAACACTTCACATATATCAAACACCAAAACAAATAAAATAATCAGATGATCAAATATAATCAAACATCTTTTCATTGTTCTCACATTTCATGTAAAAGAAGGATATTTCAATATTTAAAAAAAGAAAGTACACATACCTCATACTCAGAATGGCTTGAGGACCCACAGTCCATCTCTTCCAGAACTCCCTCTTCTGGACAGCAGAATGATAAATGTAGCCACTCTTTTACCTTATCCTGACAATCAACTGAAATGTTGACATGAATAGAGGGGGAAAAATTACAATTTACCGATGATATTTAACAGTGGTCTCTACCTAAGAATCTTGTTTATCTTAGAACTGCAATTTTTAAAAAGCTGAATAATAAACATTAAATTGTAAAGATTAAGGCTTACCTTTAAAAGCATGTATAGGTACTATGTCAAACAGCCTTCTTTCAAGTAATTAGGGTTGAAAGTTCAGACCGACTGAGGCTGTAATATTCACACCAAGTTTTTTTTTTTTTAACATAGAGGTCAACTATTTAGGGGCTTATCATGCGGATGGGATGTATTATAGGGCGGGTTCATCACACTGGCTGAACTTTTATGGTTAATCGCTCTGTCCGATTATCTAGGTAAGAGTTTGGATTTGGATTGGTTCTAGTCTAGCCAAAATGACATATAATATATACAGTCGTCGCCGCTCAATCCAAATCCCATGGGAACTGAGAAAACTTTGGAATAAGTGAAAAGGCTTCTTTAGATGGGATAATGGTGTATTTGCTTTGTCTCTTCCTCGTGAAATTATTGGAAAAATGTATCAACATTTCTTCATTAAGCCTATATATATATAATCTAGATCTATCACATGAACTCTGGAGTCAGAAACCTGCTTCTCATAAAAACATTGTAGATCTAGATATTTTTGAGAAACGTATCAGTCCTACATCTTACAGCACACTTTTTCGACACTCTTTTACTACTAGATCTAGATTTACCGTTTTGGTCCCTGCTTTCAATGGACGTCACAATGACAGCCCTGAGATTACCCAACATTAGATTTACTTTTTCAAAAGGCAGATGGCCGTGGGGAAATCTCAGGCCAGCAATGGTTAGGGGGACAGAGACTTTAGTTATCTAGACTTAGTAGAATTTAGAAGTAGAGTCTATCAGACTAGATTTAGATCTAGAGTCTAGATTCTAGATGAATCTCTATAATCTATTGTCTCTAAATCTAGATCTAGAGACTAGATTAGATATCTAGACTCTTGATTCTAGATATCTAGATCTAGATCTAGATCTACTAATCATTAGCATTAGCTGATTAGCTAGATATCTAGATCTAGATCTAGATCTAGATCTAGCTGAAAAGAGGATCTTGAGTATTAGATTCTAGATCTAGATCTAGATCTAGATTCTAGGTCTGATTCATCTATTATAGATCTAGATCTAGATCTAGATATATAAATCATCGGTGAGTGACATTCTTCAGTCACAACACTAGATCTAGATCTCAACACTAGATCTAGATTCTGATTCTACTTCTAGGACAACAGCATTTATTATCTACTAACCTTTAGCAGTAGGAGGTCTCACAGAGCGAGTGGAGTAAGGCCTGCTTGACTCTGGTTGAGCATTCTTCGACAACGCTGCTTCCAACATCTTTCTTCCATATGAAGCCATTTTGCTTCCCAGTGTAAACAAAGTAACCGGTTCAGAAAACGAAAGCGGAAACAGGAAGTCGGGGTAGGCTAAAAAGAAGATGATAGTTACCTCCCCCTAAAATACTAAAAATATCTTGAAGACCACAATAACCAGGTTTTGGGGATCACAGTGGCGATTTTGTATAAATTTCGATGTCAGACACTGTTGTGAGAAAATTTGTACAGGGCAATTAGGCATCCCAATAAACGTTTTGGCATAGCTCAAATTATGGGGCATTATATATGCCCCACAAAAAAATCCTGCCCCTCAACAAACTCAAATATAGAAAAATGCCCCATATATCCACAGTGTGTAAGTATATATATATATATATATATATATATATATATATCATAATGATATTGTAAGAACAAAGCATGATACGCAAAATTTTGCTCAACCCCAAAAGTTTGAATGAGGGCCAGATTTTTCCTTCATGGAGGGGCAAAATCTAGGCTACCATTTTGGCACACTTTGGTCAAGTGAAAAGGTCAAATCCTCCGAATGGTAGTGGTGTGCGAGTAAGCGAAAAATCTTGGTCGAGTAATGATCGGTTAAATGCAAAATTGTTCGGTTAACCGATGAAATTGACCGAAAAAAATTTTCTCGACCAGGAAATCTAGATCGAGCAGGGGTCAAAAGTCATCGCAGCTGCGCTGTAAGCACGCATTTTTCAGCTGATGTCTGGATCTAAAAACAGCTTTTGGTCTTCGTCGCTTCGCGCGGTATAAAAATAAGAGTCTAGATCTAGTTGTACTAACTTGTAGATCTAGAAGAAGCGTGCAAAGTTAGTTAATTTGTTTA